TATTAGCTTTTCACTTATTATTGGCGTAGTGGCGTGCCATGGAAATTTGACAGGTTGACCCTCGTATAATGACATTTGATGACAAATTATTTCTCAAATTTCGGGGTTATGAAACAGAAAGCCGAGTTGCCAGAATGTGTGAAATATCTGAGTAAATTCAAATAGTAACATTATTCAATTTAAAACGTAACCATAACAGTAAGCTCAATAGCATAATAGTTATTTACATTACAAGTGCGTTTATGAACATGATTACAATAACGAGTGTGAAAGATTAGAACGACGAGGTCGTAGACCGAGTCGTTCTAATCACACGAGTTTTGTAGTCATGTTTAAACGCACGTGTGATGTACAACGTTTTATCTACAAAGCGAAAAATAAAAATGTTTTTTCGATTATTTTCGTCTATTAGTAGTTGTTTACCTTCATTTTACCTTTACAGGTTTACCTTTGACATTTGTCAAATCACCAAAAATAGTTGTGTTATAGATTCATAACCTGGTCCATAACATCACTAGTTGTGTTATGAATTCATAACCTAGTCTATAACACCACTAGTTGTGTTATGAGTCTCATGACATAACTCAAATACTAGAAACATGGTTATGTAAAAACGTCATTACCAAACGCTTGTAGATAAATATGTTTTTGTAGTAACTTTTTTTTCGGGTTTGGTCCAACGGCATTTCTTCTATTTTTATTTTTTTATTTCTTCTTCTTCTGGACGTGCCTATCCCTTATGAATGTCGGCGATCATCGATTATTATGGCGATGTCCACTTAATTCACAGCAATATGGAAGAGTTGTGGCGAGCTTTTATCAAACAATGTTCTGAGATTTTTCCGTCGCGATATTCTTCTTCTTTCCGGTCCTCTCTTCCAAATATCTTTCTTTGCAGGATCGATTGTTGTCCCATAGTTGTTTTATGGTCATTTTTGTGTCGAAGTATACGTTATTTTAATCAACCATTCCTGCATTTTGTCTTTCTTTGAAGAGAATGAAGGTGGTTTATCCTTCTGCTCTGAATGATATGGAGCGTTGTCCATGATTATTACTATTATTCTCTTCAAATATATTCAATGCAGGAATTAGTTGATCAACGACCCATTTTTGGAAGATATCCGCGTTCATGGTATTGTGGTAGTCTCTGTCATTGTTTCTGGAATCTAGAAAAAAATCGCACCCATCTAAAAACCCAGAACTACTCCCCGCATGCAAAATAGTAAAACGTTTCCCCTCTGACTTAATTTTGGATGGGTTGCTTTTCATATCAGATTCGTGTATCCATCGACGAACTTGAGATCCGTTTTGGTAGATCCAAGTTTCATCTAAATACACGAATCTGATATTTTCGTTTGAATGTTTATATTGCAGGTATTTCCGCAAAAATGTTATTTTGGCAGCAAGAACATGTTTCTGCTCACATAAAATTTTGCGTCCATTTACTAATTTAAATTTATATCCCATAGATTTTAAAATTTTATATAAACTTGTTTGCCCTCCCTTAAATTCCAAATTTTGTCAGTAATGTTTGTAATGTAAAACATTCATTTTTAGAATTGTATTTCCAAATTTGTCGTTGCAAATCTTCTTTAAACATTCGGTCCATAATAGTCTCTGTCTTTTTCTGTCGGCCTAAAGGTTTTTTGTTTGTATATTGTCCAGTCAAAATTCTTTGAATAATCCTGGTTCCCACCTAAAATTTAAGGAAAATGTTGGTTGGGTAAGAAATGGCTTCACATCTACATTTAAGTTATAAGTACCTACCTCAAATATATATCTGCAAGTTGGGCTTCAATTGTGCCCTGGAGTGGCCTGGAGAGCCTCTGGTTTATTTTTTTTTTTAAATAACCATGACATTTTAATATTCCCCTTTTTTTTTCTTCTGAAATTATTTTCGGCATCTTCAATACGAAAGAAATTTGACAATGCCGAATTTTAAAAAATGCCATTAGATTTTGCAGGTACGCAAAATAGTTAGGTACCGTTTATAATATAGCATTATTGAAAAATGCATTGAAAAATGTGTTAAATTTGATTTGTCAGATAGGCCAGAAAATTTTAATACCGCGGCACTTACGAAATTATGTAAACCACACTTAAAACTGTCTGGAATTTGACATATACTGTCATTATTATACGAGGGTCAACCTGCCAAATTTCCATGGCACGCCACTACGCCAATAATAAGTGAAAAAGGTAATTTTACAATTTTGGAAGGAGAAACAATATACCTATTTCGAGAATGTACTAGTTTTTGTTTTGAACAACCGAATACTAAAACGGAAAGGATAAAAAATAAAATACTCTTAATTTGAGTATATATTATGATTTCTCTGTATTCTCAATGTTAACAAATATAAGAGCATAAAATACCTATTTCAAAAATATAGGTAGTATATCTTTAATTTAATAAGTTTCACATCCTCAATTCGAAAATACTTTGAAAATGTATCTTTCATTAGAGAATATAACCGTACCGTAATGCTTGGTTTGAATTGAACGGCTTACAAGTATAACGATCTTTCATAGGAACTCTCTTCAACTCTCAGTCTTCACTAGTTCGTTGAAGAGTGAGGTTCATGTAAGGTTACGGCGGGCTGTTTGAACTTCATCATTCAGTTTTTTTTTGTGTGGATCTTCTATGGAGGCCAATCACGTTCTTTGCCTACCCTATATGGATTGGACTTATATTTTGCAGTGTCTACCCAGATTTTGTAGTGTGGAAAATAAAAAAGTTTAGCATTCTGTAACTGAATTTGGGCAAACGCTGTAGAGTAGAATACTCTAATGACCGTTTGCACCGACCATTTTGAGGGAGACTTAACGATAAGTATTCGTTGAAATGACATTTTTACATGTAAAAAATGTGACATTTTTTACATGTTAAAATGTCATTTTAACGTATACTTATCGTTGAGCATCCCTTGAATGGTCGGTGCAAAGTGCAAATGACCATAAAATAGCATACAAAAGTTTACTTTGAGCATATCTCAATTTTTATGGCGAAATTACCGTCCTCTTTAGATGAAACTGGGATAGCATCAAACAAAGCAGATCTATATTATTAGATGGAACTGACATAATATGCTCAATTCAAGTTGCTATATGAAAATCTAAAAGTTTAGGATGAAGCGATATATCTTCAATTTGAAATAACTAAATTTTTATTTAAAAAATCTGAAATACTCAAACGAAATATATCATCGCATTTTGTTAAAAGAAACTAATATATTGAGAATTTGATATTCTTATTCCAAGGCGTCATAGTCTTGAGTATATGCAAAGCTAACTTATGCTCGAATTGAGCTTAAGCTATTTGAACCAAGTATTTTGTTTTTTGTGTGTATCTTCTTCGAATTGAAATAACCTGCAGTAATTTTAAATAACATGTAGAGTACAGCTGGGATCTCGTTCTCTTTCGGGAGACTCTAAGCCTTCGCTTGGGAAGTTGCAACAGTTTCATTTTCAAATCATCATCAACATCGTTTCGCTAAACTGCATAACTACGCAGATACCCCTACCAGGCGCAGATACCCCTACCAGGCGCAGTTCAATGCAAGCACTGCCTCAGAATCACTCAATGTCAAAGATTTCCTGCTAGAAACCTTCTAGTTGAAACGGATCAAGAAGAATTTAGTAACTATGTTGGCAACACAAGTTTTTTCTACATAAAAAATTTGAAAGCATGGACAATTTTACATCGTATTGCCAACGTAATGTCATTTTGACTTTTATCGTTAAAAAAAACAGACTTTAGAAGGACATTTTTGAAACGTCTATCACTTGACAGCTTGTCCAGGTATTAATCCAAATGTTGTCAATCTGTGACGTTGTCTTTGTGTGACTGATTAGTATATGGTCATGCATGTGCAACTCTTATGGCGCAATTTGTTCCGCTAAAAGATTGCGACTACAGACGGCAGAGGCGCTGTCGTCCAATGCTGTTGTCAGATTTTTATATAAAAACTCCAGATTATTTTTTATTTGTTTTAAAAAGCTTCCAATAATAGGAAAAAAAGTCGTGTACCTCGCTAACATATAATTACTAGTAGTACGATTTGAAATTACATTTCTTTTTCAAAACCAATATCCCATGCTTTTGACATGTGGCAACGTCGCTTCACTTTTACTTTTTCATTATATTTTGACAAATTTTGACATATTCCATTTTTATTCAATAATTTGAATCAGAAATTGAAATTTTTTCCGTGGCAATGTGTGAAAGCCGAGAGAACAGAGTAAAAATTCATCGAATTCCGAAAAATGATGAACAGGTATGTTTCAATCCCTACATTATACCAAAATCAGGATTTCACCTCCTGTAATTTTACCACTGTAACTTTCTGTCTTTTTAGGTGTTCATTTTATGCCTGCAAAACGTTTACAATTAAAAAATCTTATTCATTGTAGGTACCTATTATTGATTGGATTGATATTATACCTACTGTAGTTAATAAAGTAATTCAAAATTGTTATTTTTGTATTTAATTCATGGATTAATTGGTATGTAACTCTTCGGTATGTGATCAAGAGACTGTTTATCATAATTTTATTTCCACTAGAAACATATTAAATTGTTCAGTGCTAGTGGCAATAAAAAATGATAAACGGATCCTAAAGAAAAAAAAAATTAAATTTAAAAAGGAGCGCTTCCCGCGCTCTCAAGTTGCTGACTATACACGCGAGAGGGCGCTGTAATCAGGAACAAAATGTTTGTATTGAGTTGCCTATCTATATTATAGGTTCGAGAGAGTTTTGTATCCCTTATCTATGGTATATGGTATTGTCTGGCGATTTTTCAGCGTTATTTTCACAACAAAACTTTTCATTCTCTCGATTGCCAGACAGAAAGTAAATGCAGAAGGTTCTATACTTTTCTCTTGCAAGTTGACACCCATCCCCACTTTTTCAGCCACTGAAAAGCATCTAGCATTTTTCATGGGTGAATTATACATAGTTCCCACATTTTAGAAAACTACCTAACACAACAAAAATACTTGGAACATAATAATAATTCTATTTATTGATAAAAATATATAAAAAAATTTAAACTACATAAAAATTCAAGAAAATCTAGGATTAACAGGATAAAGATCTGCAAACGGTATATTTTGTATAATCGATTTGAATAATAGGTCTTCCAGAATTTGACTCAAAGTTTGTTCAACGACTGGTTTCAATTCTGCAAATAATTCATCTACGTTATCGTTAATGGCTTTATTAGTAGCAGCATCTGAAAAAATACAAATTAAGAAAATATTTCAAATCAAACACATTACTTACTAAGTTCTGCATTTCCATTAAACAAACCATCCAACTTAATTGAGGGTTTCTGCACTCTGATACTACTGTTAGTTATTGTAGGCATCAAATGGACTTTATTATCACCCAGAATGGCTTCTTTATACTTTTGATATACATACACATCACATGAATCTAAAACATTGAACCTAAATAATCTTAAATGCCTATATCAAAGTCACAATTTAGTGCATTAAGATAAATCCTTGACATTTTCAAGTGGCAATGTCAGCTACATAATTGGTGTGCAGTTTTACCCATAGTTGATGATATGGGTTTCTATTAAGGTTCAAATTTGCATAACAAGTTTTCAATAATTTTTACTGCAGTTCAATTCTAGACTAAATTATATTGAAAATGATATAATAAAACAATGAGTATACCAATATGAGCAGTAAATTTTCCTTTCCCTTCGATAGGAGCTATAAGTATACGTCCAGTGAGACTATAATCACCTTCCAAACTTACACCAGGAATCTTAGCTTCACAGAAAAATTCATAATTGGGCACATCAAAACTATAAGAAATTTTTTAATTAGGTGAGATTCTATTTAGCAATTTAAAATTCTTACTCAAATCTATGAAATTTATATTTAGTCAATCCGTGAGCTACAACGTTACTTAACAAAGCTCTAAAATTTAGAGCTCTGGTTCCTTGGGCTAGTTCTATTTGAGGAATCGTAAATGGCTCGAAGGATGGTAGTCGTAACTCTGGGACTCCTTTTGCTGTATATAAGCAGTTTAATAAAAAAATTATTACAAATTAAAGTAATAATAATAATACATACCCAAATAAGGTCTTACTTGTTCCGAAGCATTTATTAGGCATTTATTGAGTTCAGGATCGTTACGGAAGCAAACTGGAAAGTATTCGGCTAAAAGTAAAATTTCAAAATAGATAAATGTGACAAGACACAAGACGATTATTGTTTGCTATTGCAATGCAATTAAAAATTGCAACGTGTAATTTGATTTGTGCAATGAACCTTATTAAAGATGCAGGCAATAAGGTTATCAATAATTAACCGATTGCTCTATAATTGAAGACAATATTTTTTTTTTGCAAGAATGAAAGTATAAGTAGTTGTTGAGAAATAGTTTAATCAATTTTCTTTAATAATTATTATGTTCGTCCTGTTTTTTATTATCTTGGGTTTTCTAATGTTTTTCATCATTCTTTGAAAATTTAATTATTGAGTAGTCCTTATTTTTTTTCTTTATTAGTAACCTACCTACTAAGTACTGAGTTCTTGTTTATAAATACTTGCGGCAAATTTTGGAAGAATAAGCAGTATAATTCATCGGAAAATAAAAGCAAATGCAACAGGAACTAGATGCCGTTAGTATAGAGGGAGGAGGAGCGCATAGAACCAATAAAATCTGACATATGTTAATCTTCAAGGTCGGAGAACAAGGCAAACAGGAGAAGATTACAGGCATTTGAGACGAGATGAAAAACGAGTAATGAAACCAAAGAAAAAAAAACAATGGGCCATAAGCTCCCAGAGTTAGGAAAGCTAATAACCTAAATTAGGATAAACAGATTATCAGTGAACAATAAAGATGGGCCAAAAACTTCGGTGAAATACCTACTAAATATTAAACAACAGGAAGAAACAGATGAAGAAGAGTTTTGTGGCTAAGAAATAACAAAACTCCCGGTATAGATGGCATATACCTTTTCACTTGAGGTCTGTTGTACCTATGGGGTGTATGAAATATGTGTGTCTCCATGCATGAATTTATTTAATTTTAATTAATTTCATTTTATTTTATTTTGTTTAATTCAATTTTATTTTTATACACATACATCTAGGTGTATGAATGAATTATGGAAAAAAATGAAATATTTTAGAAATTTTTTATCTATTATTAATTTTTAATTAAAAGTTATTTTATCCCATTGAGGGCGACTGTTATAATTATTGAATAGGGATTTTAATGAAAGGATCCTAAGCCTAAGCTCTCAAATGTTTGCCGAGGTTTGCTACACTTAATCGGACCGTCCTGATTAAAGACGTAGGTACCTATTTGAAGATTTAAATTGGTACTCAAACTATGGTGTATTCAAGGACCCTGCAATATTTAAATGGAAATTGGTTACCCGTGATATTTGGATGAAATTTAAATATGTTATTAGGGAGGCCGTAAGCAATATTTTTTACCATGGGCACAACCCTGTATATATGACAGGTGAGGCGTGGTTAGCTGTCGAATATTGGAATCTTATATCCAAAAACAGAGTAACTATGGCAGATTTTGATGAACAAAAAATCTATTTCTACTAAGTCGACCAAGTTGAGTCGAAAAATGTCAACCGTTTTAACACCTGTCAAAACCCTGCCAAACGGCAGCACTCATTTTTTCCAGTTTTCTCAATTTTATGTTGTCATTTGACATTTTCAACTTATATATAAATTCTAAATTCAAAAATTGGAAAAAAAAATGATAGAACTGTCAAAACCTGTCATTTGTTTTAGTAGAAAAAAATACTCTTATCTGGTGCTTTCTCGTTTTAAGGTAGTTTATTGGTGATAATACATTGAACAAAGTTCATGCACGTCACATTTTGACAGCTGTCATTTTTTTTTTCAATTTTTGAATTCAGAATTTACATATAAATTAAAAATGTCAAATGACAACATAAAATATTGAAAACTGGAAAAGATGAGTGCTGCCGTTTGGCAGGGTTTTGACAGGTGTTAAAACGGTTGACATTTTTCGACTTAACTTGGTCGACTTAGTAGAAATAGATTTTTTGTTCATCAAAATCTGCCATAGTTACTCTGTTTTTGGATATCAGATTCCAATATTTGACAGCTAATCACGCCTCACCTGTGATATATACAGGGTTGTGCCCAGGGTAAAAAATATTGCTTACGGCCTCCCTAATAACATATTTAAATTTCATCCAAATATCACGGGTAACCAATTTCCATTTAAATATTGCGGGGTCCTTGCGAATATGCATAGGTCAAAAACATCTTCTACCAAAAAAAATTGACAAAGCTGACCCTAACAAAATCACCTTTGGCATATGAGAATTTAAAAATACGCGACTAGGAATAGAATTAACTCAAAAATAAATACCAAAACCAGAAATTTTAAAATAAATTTAAAAAAAAATAACCTTAAGAATGTACCTAAAATATAATAGCCCTTGAAGTCGCGCGACCGGAGGTCTATTGATAATTATAATAGATATAAATAATTCCAAACAAATATGTATACAATTATAAAAACAAATAAAATTTAAATAAACACAAAAAAAATAAAATAGTTATAGATATATGTTGATTTCACTTACGTCTTCCATAAACTTTCTTAGGTCTCGTCTTAGCACCCTCACTTAAAACAAATAAGCAAACTAAAGAAACGGTAGTTAAAACCTTAGCTGGGCTCATGTTGACTAGTTGGCTAGTGTTATTCAACTGACAAGGTAAAAATATAAACACCGAACTTAAATTATTCTGAAACGTCCCAATCAAGTTGTATCAGAAGACGGCACATACAGGACTAATTATCCATTTATTGTTTGATAAATTTTATGCGAAATGGAAATGTGCTCGTGTGGCCTTGGGTTCTTTTTCGTTTTTGCAGAAATATCGAACTTGATTAGATGAAACATAGAAACCTTGCTTAAGCCTAATAGTAATTATATATTTCTTTTTTCCTAGTGCCGATAGGTGCTAATAGTTTAATTATTTATGGTTGGTCAACATTAAATACTGGCAAGAAACATAGGGGATAAACCATTAAAAAAATAAAGCGAATGATAATTTTGTTGAAATTTGATTGGTATTTCTCAAATGACTTTACAAAAAAATTGCTGCAAATGGATATTGTCGATATTGAAATTCAAAAACAACCCAATATAGGCACATATAGTTTGTCAAACCACCTTTTTCGTATTTCTGTTACTCCAAAGTGGTAAAAATGCTAGGCTTGAATCATTCTATAGCTGTTATTATTCTCCCAAGGGAAGTGGTAGAAGACATTTTTGCAACACTGCACACTGCCTGATGACTAGAAAATGCAGGAATGGAATTTTCCGCGGAATAGTTCAGCAAATTGAAGACGAACGGAAGTGAATTATTTAGACAATTTTAGAGTCAACGACGCACCATGAAACGGAGTTGGCCGCCGAGAAAGGGTAAAAGATAAAATTAAATGCGAATGTGTCAAAATTCAAAAATCAGTTGGTTGCACGCGAATAAGTGAATTAGGATCGGATAATTAGTGAAACACTACTCGATAGTAAGATATTTTTGTGACTAATTAAGCTTGATTGTAATAGTGCTAGTTTTGTCGTGATTTTTATGTCTTGAATAACGATAAATTAATTTTGAAAGAATAGTGTTACTTATCTGCGAACCCGCTTACGGCTTACGCCGTAATAATTTGTATCAGCAGAAGTGGGACAAGTGAAGAAAACAGACCGCCGAAATGGAAAATTAAAGGAAGCAGGTGCTGATTTATGCAAACTTGCGGACGAGAAAAAAAAGCCGGCTTCAGATACCGTTCTGCAGTATCAAGAAGAAAGACCAGAAAGACATCTGAAAAAAAAACAGGAAGAACAAGACAAACGACTCAAAGAAAAACAAGAAGAAAAAGACAGGCGACTAAAATAAAAACAGGATATAAAGACACACGGCAGCAGAGAGCAAAACCGACTCTAGAATCTAGAACATTTGACAGCAACAAGAAACTAAAAAAGAGAACAAGACGAGAAGAGCTGGACCGGCAACAGAAAATCTTGCAAGAACTAGAAGACAAAGGTGAGGAGAAAAAATAGGAAGAAGACACAGGCGCGGAAAAAGACAAGAACGAGAAAAAGACGACGAAGACAAAAATAGTATTTGATAAGGAGTCCAAGGCGAAATTGGTACGATCCGAAAAGAAGTCAAATGCGAAATAGGACCGGTCAAAGACAGAATAAGAACGATTAAAGGCGAAATAGGAATAACCTGTGGAAAATTTAGAAAAGAAATATAGAACTTTGGAGAAGAAAATAGAAAGAATACGCGATAAAGACAACAACGAAATGGGTATGTTGGTGAGCCCTCTTTGTACGCAGCCAACTCAAACCACAAACATTCGATGGGCCATGTATAAACCGCAGCTTGAGGCCTCTGGCCTCTGCCAGTGCAAATGAATGCGATGAACGGCTGGTACTAGCATTACAAAGGAAACCTCTCAAAATTCTCCAAAATATTCCTGAATCCAAACAAAGTGACTCTGCAGCTGTTGTAGGACTTGTAGGCGCCTCAGGGGGTATTATAAAACTATTTTAACAAATAACTAAAAGGAAAACTTCTAGAATGACTATGAGATGTGACGTCATACCAGAAATTAACTTTCAGATATTTGTCAGAATATAGTTTTATAATACCCGCCTTTAGAGTTGAGGTATGGAAGCAGTCTGTATCAATTGGAGCTAATTAATTATCTTTCGTACCGTACCAAGCCTATTCGCCAACCACCTTAACTTTCGCAAAGTAACTCCATGCTACAAGTTTTGTTAAAAGATGACGTCATAGAAGAATTCATAATAGTCCGTGATGGCCATGGCCGGTCGCAATAATTAGAGTAACGAGGTTCTTTGTGGATTATAGACACATAAATGGCATCACGAAGGAAAATAATGAAGATATAGTGAAATTATTAAAATAATGGCTGCAGGTCATCAGACGTCGAAATTATTGCCAATTGCAATTTGTAAGAAATTGAAATTCGTTTTAAACTCGGTGCGCATTTTCTCTTTTTTCAAACCCTAGTTAAAAAGAGATAGAATTTTGTCGAATCATATAACCGAATCTGCCGATAAAATGGGATTTAGGTTGGCACTCGTGGGTAATGTTGCCATTAGTTGCTGTCGTAAGGGCCAAATTATGGACTGACTGGCTGGGCCGTATACAAGGGAGGGGTTTAGGGGGTTCAAACCGGGGGGGGTTTGCTTATTCTTTTCTTAAAAAATAATCGCCAATAAAAAATATACAACTAAAATCAAAAAATAAGTATAAAATAATCAATCGAAAAAACCAAAAATCTGCAAAAAGTGAATGTAGATCTGGTAGCCTGTGTCAAACATGTTGACTTATTAATACTGCAATCAGTCCAGTTATCTAGAGACACATGCGTCATGCGATCAATCTTTTAAAAATATCAATAATGAAGCAGGAAAGCTTGTTTTCGATATGGGTGGTGAGATTAAAAAACCCAGGACTGTAAGTCGCCAAACTCAGCGTGGAAATGTTCCGGCTGAAAATCCTGAGCAGTACTACCTTAGAAATCACTACATTCTGTTCATAGATCATATTATAGTTGAGTTAAAAGAACGTTTCTCTGAGCATGACAAATCCATTTCATACTTACAGTTATAGGTTTTTTATGTTATATTTAGGATGACGTCATGAACAAAGACAGACAATGTTGTCAATGCCTATTTTTTTTCTTATAATTTACCAGATTGTCATGTCGTGTCAATAATAGGGTACTTGCATGGAAAATTAAATTGATTATTGTTTATTGCAAACTATAGGAAATCGAAAAAAAATAGTTACTTTTTTTTAATTTCACCCAAATATGACTGTTCCGGAAGTTATACAAATATTAAGTTTTTTATATATAGATATACTGAGCATGTAAGACGTCACAACTCACAACGTATTATACCTAAGTTATGACGTCGGAAGGACATTTCAAAGCGTTGTATCTCCGTCAATTTTTGACTAACAAGAAAAAGAAAAAACACGTACCTATTGACTTATTTTTCATGGACTATCGAAATCAGCAATAAAAAAATTTGATGCAAGGGGCCTATTCTGACGACAGCTAAAAATAATGACATGAAAATGTTTATTCAAGTCATGCAACGTCGCGCGCCGTTGCCAACCAAAAACATCTGAAATTCCCCCACTTTAAATGTCGTAAAACGTACTATTAGTTTTGTTAGGTTGGCAGCAGAAATTTACTAAATGTGACGTCATCCTAAATATAGCGTAAAAATCCTATAGGTACTCAATACCACAGAAAAATGTTCAGCAGCTAAACTTGAAATATTTGAACCTATTTGTGAATTATATGACAAAAAAATTTCTCTATTCAATGCTGAATAAGATATGTGGCCAAAGAAATGGACTAATAATGATATTGGTAGTGGTAACCATTTGCCAAGAACGGCCATTGACGCGTTTTTAAATACAGATGAGTCCTTTTTTCCAATTATTAAAGATCTTTTACAAATATTAGCAACTTTACCTTCTACGGCAACAGCAGAGAGACTCTAATAGCCGTTTGCACCGAACATTTTAAGGGAGGTTTAACGAGAATCAACGTTTAGTGACTTTATTACATGTAAAAATGTCATTTTGAACGTTGATTATCGTTAAACCTCCCTTAAAATGGTCGGTGCAAACGCCCATAAGACGCCTAAAATCTTGGCTACTAAGAAATTCAATTGTAAACGAACGTTTGAAAGGTTTAGCTCTAATGTCAGTTCACAGAGAAATGGATGTTAGTTCCAAGGATGACATAAATAGATTCTGTCTAAAAAAACGCAATGTAATCATATGAAGTTTTTTAAATAAGAATATTGTTGTTTCTAAATTAATCCGATTTTTTTCTTGCCCAACCCCCCCTATGACCAACCCCTAGCTACGGCCCTGCTGACTGGTAAACGTCTGGTTGTTACCTAGCAGGTACTTTCTATGCACTAGAGAATAGAAAGTATACCTGTTAAGGTAGCATTTCGATGGTTGCGGACGATTGCGACCGCGACTGATGCGGCTGCGACTTGCGTCCAGTGCGACCTGTCGCATCCATACCCCCCCTTTGGACAGATGCGACTTTGTATACGACACGACTGACACGATTCCTTATGTCATCAGTTGTTTTCTAACTTTCGATGTATCCAGTACAATGAATTCTAATAAGTTGAAATATTGCAAGTTTACTAGAGGAGGAAGAAGATGATGACGATTCAATTTTACATCACGTAAAAGTGACAAAAAATAAAGAAAAAAAATTATCTCTTTTAATATTGTCTCGATATGCAAAGAGGCTGCTGTCGTAAATTGATGGATTTTTAGCCCATATTCTATCAAGTTCTCATCATCCTCGCTCGAAATCGAAGTCATTTTCAATAATAAATGTAAATTCTTGCTGCCCAATGCTTGCGGCCACTACGACAATGCGACCTGACTGCTCCTAGAACGGTTGAGTCGTAACGGCCGCCTTGGTCGTCGCTGTCGCACTTGTCACGGTCGCAATGGTCGCATCTTTTTAAAGGAGACCTATGTGAATACATAAAAGCGGTACACACACGACCGGCCGCATTGTCGCACCAATCGGAACGGTCGCACTGGCCGCGACCATCGAAAGGCTACCTTTAGGTAACAAGCAGACACTTACCAGTTGGTCCATAATTTGGCCCCAAAGTAACGTTTTTGTCCAAATTGAAAAAAAAAAGCTTTTCAAAATGCTGCTGGAAAGTGTTTTGGAATGTTCTAAATGGTTT